TTCTCGAATAGAAAGAGAACCTAATTAATCGTGTCACAAAAAACTAATTACAATTGAATACGTTGCGTTAGAAATAAAAAACATGCAGTTTACACTTTTTTCCTCATTGCAAATTTTAGATAGTTCAACAGTAATGATCAAATTAACGTTACTCTTCGTTATTTGTCTTACACAAGTACTCTCCAACTCTCTGTTAGAGATCGTCGTACAATCGGCACGAGAAACTCAACAAACAAGGCTGCGCCGTCAAAGTAAGTGTACTGGATGCTTTCAAAAAACATTTGCAAGAAAATCGTACTTTTCATAACTTTCTTCTGATAAGTTTTGTTAAGGAAAAATTTTCAAAAAAAAAGCGTGATAATCTTGCACTTGAGTTGCAACAAATTCATGTCACTCAAAAGGAGCACATAAAAAAATAATGTCGGTCTGTTCGCCAATCTTGTGCTTTTTCAATCAGAATACGTTGTACATGAGACATAATCAACAGGAGCAACTTCTAGTGGCCGGTCAGCATAACGAAGACCTACTTTACTTGTTAGTTGAGCGTTTTTTTCTTCTCCTTTCTTACAGAAACGCCACTCAAGGAAAGAAATTAGGTGCTTCTTGCTGTTTCATGCAACAAGCACTTGATGACATGAAAGATAAAATATTCTCCTGTCTCATATTTCAAGAAAATAAATCTGGACAGGCAAGAAAGGATAAAGAAAATAGGAGAGCAGAAAAAAGGAAAAGAATAGACAAGAAAATGACAATCCTCTGAATATATTTCAAACCCACTCCTTGTACTTAGAAAGCGCACGTTCACAAACTTGTACGATTGAGTGATATAAGCTTCAGTGCTATTTTACTTTAATTGTTTTGAATAGAACCAAAAAATTAGGCAAAAAAGTACTAACTCTCACTTTCTTGTCATTCACGAAGATTTGCTACGTTCTGGAACAAATCAGCTTATTACCAAAACCAAAACAAAGTTTAGCAAGTTGCTAAACCTGTTTCTAGTTCGATGATAAACTGATTGTGTTGCATGTGCAACATTCAAGCAAAAACACAGTGAATTTTAGTACTAAAATGCATGTGACCATTGTTTAACACCTTCTATCTTGCACACTTATTGCTATTAAATTTTTTCTGTTATTTATTTACTAATAGCAAACATGTGTGGTGATTTTGCACGTAAAGATGGCGTTGATTTTTATGGAAATGATATACCACCATATCCTCAAAATGCACCGGATTATGCTAGCTGTTGCTCGATATGTCGAACAACCACAGGATGTAATGCATTCACATATTCAAAATCGCGTCAAGCATGTTATCCAAAAACTCGTATCGGAAATGGTGTAGCAAAGTATGACGATGCAATTACTGGATACAACCGTAAGTCTGTCAATGATTTGTTAGGAAGCACAGTGCTCTCAGCAAGTACAACTCAATAAATAAAGCTACTCCCTCGACATGTACATGAGAATTTGTAAAATATTTAAATGAAAACTAAACTCTACAGAACTCTCTTGCGACACATTTCTTGATAAAAAAAAATTCCTAAGAAACTATTTATAAAAATTTTACTTTGGAGATATAATAAATTTCGGTCGCTGAAACAGAGATGCTAAACAGTGAATGTTTCTCTGTTTGTTATCTCTCCGCTTTTTTAAAATCAGAACCTGTTGTTCATGATTTGTGTTTAAGAAGAACAAATTTGAAATGACTGATCAGTGGAACGGTGAGCCACTGTACTTGTCGACTGATTTGTTTTTGTTTCCCTTTCTTGCAGAAACCCAATCTGAAAAAAAAGCACGCCCCTTTGGATCGTTCTACCAACAAGCTTTTGATGACATGAAAGATGAAATATTCTCCTGTCGTCAAGAAAACGAAAACAACCTGAGTGAGTTGCAATCCATATGCTTTTACTTAGAAATCGTACCTCTAAAGACTAGTACGAGACAATGATAAGATCATCATTACCATTTTACTTTGATTGTTTTGGAAGGAACGCTGAAATGAGGAATAATAGCATTAAGTTCTCACTCTCTTATCATTCACAATGATTCATCACATTCTGGAAATTGTCATGTGATTACTAAACCCAGCAAAAAGTTTAGCAAGATACAAAACTCTCTTGTAGTTCGGTAATTAATCGATTGTATCGCATGTTAAATGCTCATCAGCAGCTAAGTAAGGAAATAATAGGATATGACGAATTATAGTACTACAACGAGTGTTATCGTTATATGAAGCCATCCATTTGTACAATTAGCGCTATTGAAATTTTCCTTTTATTTATTCTTTCTTAGCGAACGTGTATAGTGATTTCGTACGTAAAGATGGCATTGATTTTAATGGAAATGACATACCACTGTTTCCTGTACAAGTACCTGATTATGCTAGCTGTGGCCTAAAATGTCAAGCAACCCCAGGATGTAATGTATTTACATATTTAAAATCGCGTCAAGCATGTTATCCAAAAACTCGTATGGGAAATGGTATAGCACAGATTGCCGATGCAATTACTGGATATAACCGTAAGTCTGTTAACCATTTGTTAGGAAGTACCCTGTTGTAGGCAAGAGGAACTCAAGAAACAACACTATTCCCTCGACATGTACTTGATGATTTCTAAAACATTTGAATGAAAACTAAACTCTGAAGAACCTTCTCGCGAATCGTTTCTTATTGAAAAATTTTCAAATAGAATATATGTAAAAATCTTACTTTGCTGCTACAAGAAATCTTGGTCACCGAAGGAGAGAATCTTAAAGATTTATGTCTGTCTGTATTTGAAATTTTCCATTTTTCACGTTATAACCTGTTGTCCATAAGATATAATCAAGAAGAAGAACTTTCCATGACGAGTTCATAGAACAACAAGTCACTTTACTTCTCTGTTGGTTTGTTTTTCTTCTCCTTTCTTGCTTTTTGATCCTTCTTCCGACAAGCTTCTGATGAGATGAAAGATGAAATATTCTTCTGTCGTTTATTCCTGAGAAATAAAGCTGAACGAACAAGAAAAGACCTAGAAAATGAGACAGCAGAAAAAAAGAATAAAAACGAAAGTGACAGTCCTCTGAATTGGATTCAGTCTATATCCTTGCACTCAGAAAGCTGACCTTTAAAGACTTGAGCGACAGAATCACAGTACTGTCATTGCCATTTTACGTCAATTTTTTTTCGAATATAATGCTAGAATTACGCATAAGGGCACGAGTCTTTCATCTTTTGTCTCTCATGAAGACTTATTACACTCTAAAAGAAATTGATTTATTACGGAATTTAAATAACGTTTTCAGCTAATCACTTAACCTATAGAGACTCTTTCCTTTGGCAATAAGAAAAACTTTTTGATTCGGAACCTTCATTGACTTTGTAAGTAAAATCAAGGTTTTGCAAAAACATTTCAAAATCTTTTGGGATTTATATGAAATTTCTGCAGTTTCTCTACTAGAAAATTGAGGTATCTCCTGTAATCTCAAGGATTTTGAAGGAATTTTTAGCAAAACTTTATTCCTACTCAGAAGAGCTAAAAACGTTCAACACGAATGATTCTTCCTGTATACCGATCGAAATATCCTTTTCTAGTTTAGTATTTTACTAAAGGTTGTGTTGAATTCTGCAAGAAATCTATTATGTTAAGAATGTATCATGTACGAATTGCTAAGGGACAAGAGAGTAGGACAGACAAAAGACACATTTCTTACCGATAAATAACCAGAATTATCGATTTATGAAATCGCTCATGTGCACAATTCATAGTGTTAAAATAATGATTCTACTTCTGTTCTTACAGCAAATGGATGTAGTTTCTTACGTCGGGGTGGATGGGACATACCTGGCAATGACATACTACCTTCACCTGTACAAGGACTCGATTATGCTAGCTGTTGCTCAAAATGTCAAGCAACTTCAGGATGTGCTGCTTTTGTGTATTCGCCATCAACGAAGAATTGTAAGCTGAAAACGAGTATGGGAAGTGGTGGAATCCAAAAGGATGACAGTATAACTGGGTACTATGGTAAGTATTACAACTGTCTGTTAGAAAGTGTCGTGTCATTAGCAGAAGGAACTTAAAAGAGAAGGCTTCTACCTCTTATTGCACTAGTTGATGTGAAAGAGATTTGAAGAAAGCTGAACTCTTCACGATTTTCTTTTCATACACTTTTCGACGGAAAATTTATCCAAGAAATGTTAGAAAACCCTGCTTTGTTGGTGCTAAGAATTCTTGTCAGTGAAGATAGAGGTATAAAAATAAATCTGAGTCTGTTCGTTAGAGTTGTGCCTTTTCCAGTAGAGTTTCTTGTTTATGCGACATAATAAATAGTAGCAACTTTCAGTAACGGATAGATTGGATGCAAAGCTACTTTACTTGCCGATTGATCGCTATTTTATTTCCGTTTCTTGCAGAAACATTTTCTAAGAAATCGAAATAGGCTCTTCTTATTTTCTTGCAATAAGCGTTCGGTGAGATTGAAATCTGAAATATGTGTCCGTTTCTTATTCCTGAGAAATCAAGTTGAACAGGCGAACAGGATGAAGATAGCGAGATAGCAGACAAAGGCGAGGATTATATTAGAAAATGGAAATGCTCTAAATGTGTTTCAACTCGCACTCTTGCAGTGGGAAAATGCACCTTCACACGATTTTATCACAGAATAACAGGAAATTCAATGCTGGTAGAAAAATGATCGACTCAAGCTAAGAAAAATGGCATTCGAATCAATAATATTTCTTATATCTCATATTATGTATACATGCAAAGCATACATACAAAGAAACAATCTATATATTGTTTGAAACGAAAGGAAGATGGATGTACAAAGAAGACATGAAACTGTATCGCTGAAAGGTGATTCTTTCTTGTAGAAAAATTATTCCTGTAGTAAAGCAATTCTTCATTACCGTGTATATGTTTACACCATTTCATAGTAGAACAATGAAATCATGGTGGAAAAAGAATCGCGTACGTAGCAGAGCCGAGACATTTTGCTGATGAAATTCTTTACTTGGTAGTATCGACTATAAAGGGAAGTTTAAGCAAACTGCGTCGTGCAACATCGATGTGGATTTCGAGAAACAATACTCAGCAGAAGATCCTTACACCAAAACACATCCCTATCGGCTCTACAATATAAAAAAAATAAAACAGGAAGAGGGATGCTTTCTATTTTCGGATGAGAGTTTTATTTAAGGCTTTCGCAACTTTTGATTTGGTAGATGATGTTAGATTGGGGCAAAAATGAACTCTATATGAGATTTTCATGAGAAGAACGAGAATCTATTGGTTAAATTTGTTTTATAAAGCAGCCAACGATCTTAGAATATTTCCACAACCATCGATCATTGTGATGAAATGCTGGAAATTTTCTTCGAAAACAATAGCGAAGAAAAGTTGATGGATCTTTGTCACTAATAGGCTAACAGTTTTCCGAAGTAAATGATCTCCTCTTCACTTTGTGCAACACTCGAACAACATATATCAGCATCTTGTTGCAACTCCTCTGAATGTCCTTCAATTGTCTAGAGTCTACACAGACCACCTACATTAGATCTATTTAGTTACTGAAAGAGGACCGATGATGAAATAGAATTTTTCTTCACCAAACAACAGTTTAAGAAACTTTCAAAGCTATCGCCGATTTCAACTGTATTAACTTACAAAAATTTAGAACTTTTGGAGTCTCCTCGACATGTTTCATTGCTAGGATACTGTGAGATTTTCATATCAAGTTAGTTTCATTAATTTGATTGGATTTTGAAAATAAAATTACTTTCATTATTTTGGCTAGAATTTAGTCATTTTCATCTGATGAATATCGTTAGTTTTGAATAAATTAAATTCCTTCTATTACTTTGATTAGTTTTCGATAGTTTTTGCCATTTTAACCTAATGAATTTGATGCATTGTAATTACATGATGTTTTTCAATAGAAATTACTTGAATTATTTTTCTAAATAAACGATTCAAATGTTCGTTATAGATCCAATTGCCATTGTTTTTCCTGGTGCTTTTCAACAACCACCACGCCTTGAAACAAACGTTGCTTATAATATTCAATCGAATGTGGGTGAATGGTACTCCACTGGTATGTTTCTATGTTACCTTAGCAATTAAAAATCTTTGATGAAATACGCACATTTTCAAAAAAAGAAATGTTTTTTTTTTCGAAAAATTTGCTGATTACGGGGAATTAGATAGGCGTTCATGCATTTTTTTTGTCTGAGAGGAATTCGAAGGGCAAGAATACACGCAGGAGTGTAGCAAAGCCTTAAAGTCGCGGGGTATAATGTCTTCGTGCATATACATTCAGTCAAAGTATCACTGGGAACAGACACATTTTAAACTCTTTATCCCTAGTTTTGGCGTTAAAAGCACGCTATTTTCAAGAACACGGAGAGTGTTATATTTTCTTATCCTTCCGATCATTATGTTCCTGAGTGCGCAGCATAGAACAGCCCTATTGATGTTTCGCAGTTGTTATAGAAGGTTTTGTTACGAGCATCGTTGTCGACATTGAAACTACTCCTGGTTTAATGTTTTTCCGAAGTATTAGCCGACTAAAATAGGATTGTTTTTACTGTAGAAAACAGATACAGATTTTCGTTGATTACTATGCGGGTAAAAAAAAAACATCTGCGAATAATCGACTTGTCCACGAAGAAATAACGAGCACGCATTTACAATGATGCGTAATGAATGACATCAAATGCAACTGTGCTCATCCTTCATGACTCACCTGTTCTAAACACCAGTCTCTTTTAGGGTATTATGCCGCTGCTGATGTTCCTATCGAAATCAAGGTATTGAAACAAGTGGGTGCCTCCGGATGGTCGGTTCAAATAGGCTGTCATATGGATGACCTCACGGTAAGCTTGTTGCCTAGTACCGATTTTCGACTTTCTTTTTCCTGGATATTGCAGGGCTATGAAGAACAACGCCGACCACCCCGCATCTATCTCACAGAACCTTTGAGCTCGAATGGTACTGTTCGGATTAGTTCACACTATGGCGGTCTTGTGTTTCTTCAAAGTCCAGATGCTTCTGGATGTTCGATCTCTGTTTCTTTAAATAATGTTGTTCTCACGCCGACTTACGATCTAGCTGACTCAAACCGAGCCACTAAATGGCAGAATCAACAACGGAATGCTCAAGGCCTTTGGGCAGATATCGCTGGTCGCTACATTGCTTTTAATCTGCCATCGAAGAGTGTATTGCATATGACAAGCACTCAATTAGATGATGCACTTAAATTCTGGGATTCAGTCGTATTGACACATCATGACCTACGTGGGACAAAGCCAACCTATCGGGAACGAGTTGTCTCTGATGAACAACCTTCAGCTGGTTACATGCGTAAGTATATTCAGTCATAGTCAATTGTACTATACTTGACCAGTCGAAAACTATTGTAGATAGCGGTTACCCGATAGTCACTATGATGAATGTGGCTAATCCGGATTTGGAAGAGTTTCTTTTTAACACTGACATTCTAAAGAAGCCCGAGCAGTGGGCAGGCAGCAGTTGGGGAATGTTTCACGAAATCGGACATAACATGCAACGAGGCTGGTGGAGTAAGTAATTTGTTAGCAACTTCGTATTCCTTTCTTTGAACACTTTGTTCTCTAGCATTTGACGGTACTGTCGAAGTGACCACGAATATCTTCACTGTGCACGCCAAGGACATTATCTGTCACCTTCGCTTAGGCATTTATGAGTGGAACACAGATCAAATATCGTCTACACGTACGTACATCCAAAATGGCGCAAACTTTGATCAGTGGAAAGAGCAACCGCTTCTTGCTCTCCTTATCTACATTCAATTGGCACGTGAATTTGGTTGGAATAGCTACAAGTCCGTTTTTCGCTATTATGAGAACACCAAACCAAATCTATCTAATGATCAACAAAAGATTGACTATTGGATTGAAACCTTTTCTCGGCAGGTTCAACAGAATCTCGTACCACTGTTCAATTTCTGGGGTCTTCCAATTTCTCAATCGACCGTGGACAAATTGGCTAGTCTGAAAATGGCTAACATATCTGATGAGCTCATTCAAATAGCTCCACAACGCTATCGTGTCGGTATTCAAGGTAGGAGAGTCAAAATTTAGCAATTGGTCGGTGACCTTAAATCAGCTGAATCTCAATAGTTATCTAATGAATTTAGTATCAAAATGTCGGACTAAAAGAGGACTTTCATCCCATGTATAATTCGGCCTGATGAGGAAGACAAATAGCAATGGGTGTGGGTGTGGGTGTGGGTTAAGAGAACACACCCCACCCACACCCACACCCACACCCACATCCACACACCCACACCTCGATATCACC